TTTGGGTCATCTCGCTACCTAGGCAACAGACCGCTGATTATGGGAAGTCTCAGAGGGACTGTGTGAGTTACCCTTGCTGTATCATATTAATAAAGTCTTTGTTACCTTCTCCCCCGGTTTACATTGGGTATAAAAGCTATGGAAAAATAAACACAGGGTATTTCAGGATCTGAGTAATCCCTGAAACTCCCTCTCAATTCTATCTTTTGTTTCTGCCTTCAGTTCCCACGCCCTACACTGGTGAGAGGTGATTTTATTGAGGCCAGTCCTCAACCCCTCTACTAGTTGGGAGTCTCTTGCAGGCAGCTCAACAGGGTGGAGCATTTCCTCACAGCTGTAATTGTTTGTATAACCCTGGCGGAGGCGTGTGAATCCTGTAAATTTGAGTGGTTTCCTCAGACTTGGGTATTTGGTTACTTCCAGATTCTTAACAAGCCCTCTCCAGGAGGGAATGCTTGACTTTGAGGACCTAGCTCCAATCTGCTTCTAGTAATATGACTGTGCACTTTCTTATGACATCTGCTTCTGTTTATCTGGGTTGAACCTGTAGAACCCAGATTGTTGAGCCACTTCCTAAGAGTCACTGTTTTCCGACAGCCTGTGTCGCTGCATTACTGTCAGCAAAGGACGGTTCCAGGACCTCTTGAGCTGCGCTCACTCTTGACAGTCGGGAGTTCTAGCCTTTCCAGGGGGCGGGTATGGCATCTTGTGGATTTAAGTTTCATATAGTTAGTAGTAGTTATCAGCGTTGAATGTGCCTTTTAAGAGCTTCTCTGCCATTTGTGAGTGTTAATTTAAAATGGAGGATATTTTGTCCCTACTCTCTTTAATAAATTCATTATCTTTTCAGGGAACAAGCGATCAGCCAGATGTACTTCCTGCAAGTGCTTTCTCTAGGCTTGTCACTTGATATTTATTTTCTTGTTTATTCCTTTAAAAGTATCAAAGCTTTAAATATGTCAGACTACTGTTTCCAAGTTTTGTACTAGGAGTTAGGGAGTCGCCACTTTTCGTGCCAGTCTGAGATTGATTTACTAACTGTGGGCTTTGGGGTTAAGAGATACATATGGACTAGGTAGCATCTGTTGCTGCAAAGACTGTTTTTCTACTAAATTACACCTGTAAGTTTATTAAAAGTTTATTGAATGAAATCATACTTTCTTTTTAATCCTTTTATGTGTATGTTTTTTTTAAAATTTATATTTAGATTCTTAATGCCAGCAAGGCATGTCTTGATCACAGTAGTTTTATTAAAATTTGAAACCAGGGTTTACTAATTTTCATATTTCCTGCCTTTTTTTTTTTTTTTGGTCTATCTGTTGTTGTTTTTTTCCTTCAAAATTCTCTTGTCTAGGGGGCTGGAGAGATGGCTCAGTGGTTAAGAGCATTGCCTGCTCTTCCAAAGGTCCTGAGTTCAATTCCCAGCAACCACATGGTGGCTCACAACCATCTGTAAAGAGGTCTGGCGCCCTCTTCTGGCCTTCAGGCATACACACAGACAGAATATTGTATACATAATAAGTAAATAAATATTTAAAAAAAATTCTCTTGTCTATTCAAAACTATTCCCAAGTCATGGTTCTATATGTATAAGGAATATGATTACTACGATTATGAAACGGTTCTTATTGAATCTATAAGATAGTAACTGCAATTAAAAATAATTATCATGATCAAAACATTCAGAGTCAATTACAAGAATAAAATCAGTATTTAATAATATAGTAACAAATTAGCAATAAATAATTTAAAACTTAAAATTTAACATTTCATTTCTAACAGCATCAGTGAAATAACAAATGCAAAATTATTTAAGGTGTTATGAAGTTCTGAGTGAAAACTATAAAAATCTGATGAAAGAATTAAATAAGATCAAAATAAATGGATAAAGACACTCCATTGAATTAAAGTACTAACCCCACTGTGAATTCTATTTGATAATTTTAAATGATGTTGAAAATTTTAAATTTTGCTTGTTTGGTAATCATTCCTTTTTTCTGCTACTTTTAATAGTTGAGTCTCATCATGTGAGTGCGAATTTTCTTGTCTAACTTTTCTTGTTTTGTTTTTCAAGGCAGGGTTTTTCTGTGACGTTCTGGCTGACCTGTAACTTGCTTTGTAGCTCAGGCTGGCCTCAAACTTGGAGATCCTCCTGTCTCTGCCTCCCAAGTGCAGGGATTTAAGGCACTGATTTTTGACAGTTTTTGTAGAATATTTCCAATGTTGGGTTAAATTTGCTGATGAAGACACTAGTAGATAAGTTTTATTCATAATTTCTGATTACAATTTCAAAAAGTAATTCAAAGTCCCCATTGTTTCTTTGTTAGGTTTATTATTTTGTGGTTTATAAGACAAAATTCCTTAAAATCTAAGTTGTCAAATTCACAGACAAAGCATTATTTTATCTTTTTTTTTCAGTATCTGTGCAATCTGAAATTGTACCACATCTTCCTTTTCTGGACTGGTAATCTGATTTTATTTTCTTGAGTAGGCTAGTTGTGGCTCTGTTAGTTCCAGAACAAGAACTGCCCTATGTGATGATATGATTAGTAGGTCAGGGGAGGCTGCTGTGTTGAAAAACACCTATTTCTATGTCTGTGGAAAGAGCAGTTCCATGAAGCAGTTTAGCAATAAAGAAAGTGAAGGTGATAACACGGGTTAGGTTTTGATAAATGCAGTGAGTGAAATAAACAGGGCAATTGGTAGAGAAGGATGCTCTGAGTGGAGGACAAAGGTTGTGACCTATGCACAGAAGCCATCAAAAGGCCCACAAGAGACTGTAAAAAGACACCTAAAATCTGAGGATATCAATTAGCCCATCCCTGATTGATTGACAGAGGGAACAGTTGATAGAGACAACAATTTGTATGAAACTGTGAGACTCGGATGCTTTTAGAGAAGTCAAGTAACATACGGGGCACGATGGAATGTGGACCAAAACAAGACTGAAGAACAAGGCAGAGTGAAGTAATAGTGATTTGTGAACCATTGAGGACACACAGTTCTTAATGGGTGGTGAGATGAGCCAGCAAATATTTCTGAGATGGCATGTTGATTTCTATGCTTGAGGCACAAACCATAGTTTGAGACATTGCGATATTAAATATGTTTACTGCAACAATTAAGCTGTGCACTATAGTGCAAAACCACACAAGAAGCCACCCAGTGAGGTTGTGCTCCACAAATGTTACCTAAGGAGACAGAGAGTAGCCTGCCTTCATTGGTAACACTTGCTTAATTACTGACATGGACCAAGACTATCAGTCTGTAATCCTGTGAAAACTGCAGAGCAAGGAGCTCAGATAGAGTTTTGGAGTGCGAGAACTTATTCTGTTAATAAATAAATAAATACAATTTTAAAAGGCGTCACTCTACTAGTAATAATAAGGGTGCACGTGGGATATGGTAATGCTGGAATGACATGCAGTGAAGGCATTATACAGTGGGGAGTCTGTGTATGATAAGGAGGAAATAGGATGACCAAACTTGTAAGGTAAAGGCCTAAGAAACAAACACACTAAAGTATTTGCACTTAACCGAAAGTAAAGTCTTAGATTATTCAACTAGCCTGCAAAAATGTTTAGATGTCAAAGGACATTTGTCTGAACAATGAGTTGAGATTAACAAAAGAAAAAGTAAGTTCTTTGTTGAAACCCATCCACAGTTTACTTCTTACCAAATAAACCCAAACTCTTAGTGCTATTGAAGAACTGCATAATCTCCACCCAGGAACCCAGGCTGAATTTATTTGTTCTCATTTCTCTGGGAATACGGCTCTCCAAGACTGATTTCCATCTGGATGTTTGGCTTCTTTTATCTGAAGAATAAACTACACCCCACTTTTTTTTTTTTAATACAGGAAGCATTTCTAGATGTTTCCTAAGACTGTTTTCTCTTTTGACTGTGACTCATAGTTTGGGCAACTTTTTTTTTTGCCAGTTCTTATTTGTGATTCTGTTGTATCTGTGCTGTTTTTGTCTTACCAGGATTATAAACTTCAGAGGGGTAATTATAGCTTCCTGCAAAATGCTTGATTATGCAGAGAATGCTCTATAGTTGAGTAAACACATTGATTAATTGATACGAATGTCAGTAACATTGAAATTTCTACCTGTGCATAAGCTAATGTAATAACAAGTTCATAAATCTGGTGAATGTTTTTGTTGGGATTTCTAAAATACTGTTCACATTATTTAATATGCATACATAAAATTCTCTACCTTAAAGTGTTATTATAGTACTCTGAATATTTTAGACCTTTATATGTCTGTTTTAAATTTCTAAAACTAACATATTTCCTGTCTTGGGGTAGAAATTAGTGTTCTAGGAATCAGTTATGAAACTGTCCTAGGACAGTACACTAAGGAAGTCATGAATGTCACAAAGCAGATACAACCAAACTCAGTGAGTTTAGAGTATAAACAGCTATGCATTCTTGGGTTTGGGCAGATTAACAAAGTGCAGTAGAGTAAGGTTTATAATCAATACAGTCTTATTTTTCCACTAGTTGAGACAGGAAAATTGAAGATGAAGGCATTGGATTTCAGGTGAGGGCTGTTTTTTCTGGTCTTCAGCCAAAATCCCTCTACTGTCTCAGATGGCAGAGGGGACTGAACAGCTGCTGAAGGCCTCTTTTAACGAGATCCTAATTACCTTCTGCAACCTCATCTTCTAATACTATTACATTTGGGACTTATTTCCAACATATAAAATTTGAAAAACATAAACATTCAGATCACAATAAAATTCTAGCAGAAAATCCTAAAATTATAAGTTTTATGATATCTTTAATACAGAGTGTATGATGATCAATGATTTTTTTCTTTGGGGGATATGAAATGACACAATTAAATGAGGCAGCTTGCTTTAATCATCCAAGAGAATTTCTCTCAGAAAACAATATCTAAAAGCAAATTAAATAATCCAAGTAGGGAAAGTGGAGTTTCTTGGGTGCTGCTAGTTCTGTCCTGCTGTGCACCAGGAGGAAGTTGTCTTTTCTTGTCTGACTGGGCCATCATCACGTGTCAGTACAGCTGACATTTCATGAGTATTTCATAGTTTCAGTCCTTATGCCAATGAGAGCTCATTTGTCTGGGAAACAAGAATCAAAGAAGAATCACCCTAAGACTGTTACACTGCAGTGATGGAAGAGTCACTGACCCCTGGGCCCTCCATGAGCCCAGAGTGGTGGGCATTGAGTATACTTGGATGCAGAAGAAAGTATCTAATACGACCTATATTCAATGGTATTAATATCCCTAAACAGGAGTGAGGGTTAGCAGCTTAATTCTGACTTACTTGACGTCATGATGCACAGTGTTCCTTCAGACTAGAGCTGGCTGCCCTTCCAGGGCATTAAATAATTGCTCTTGACGGTAAGGCAATTCTGGCCTCTAAATATGGCTCCTTCACTACAGGAACTCTGGTCATTAGTGGCAGTGGAGAATCTAACACAGGTAACAGGTCCATTTTCCTGGCTAAGCACGGTCCTCAATTTAGATGCTGAGATGTTGGGGGCACAGAAGTGCTTGTACTCACAGAGAAGCACTAAGAGAACCAGGAATGTTAACCATGCAGAGGTGTTTCCTGAATGGAGGAGATAAAATCAAATGCCTGCATTCCATCCAGAATGCTGAGAGTAGAGGCTCTTAACAACCTGGCAACTTTTTGCCATTTGAAGGGGCAGACCTCACCCTAATTCCCCAGAATTATTCCAGAGTCTTCCCTCCATTCTTAAGGAAAATGTCAAGTATTTTATGGCCTGCTGACCTCTATGCTGTTGGTCAGAGACCACACTAGATTTTAGGCCTTTTAGCTATAGAACCCACCTTCATTGTCACATGTACTTTGTAAATCGTCTGTGCATAGTCACACCTTAGGTGTTATTGTGCACCTGTAACTGGACTGATTGGACTGAATGTTGCCTGTAAACCTTTCCCCAAATTGTACTGTGTTTTAAATATGTTGACAGCAAACCACCTGACATTAGACTCCCCAAAGTCTGACTCAGGTTGATGAAGTCAGTGTGCACTGGATTTTCATTATCTCTTCGTGGGTTTTGCTTCCCTGTATGATACCTGCAGGGACCACTCACTGAAGATGATTCCTGAGTATTCCAAGGATTTCTTTTCACATGCCTATATTGCAACAGCTATGTACATATTTCCCACAGGCTACTGCAAAGATGCAGCTGACAGCGGTGGTTCTGTGGATTTGCTACTGATTCTGACCATTGCACCTAGAAGAACGAGTTGGTTTGGAGAGATTCTAGATGCAACATCTCCAGCAGGTTTTATTTTATGCACATCTCTATGTAGACATCTTATCTAGCTGGTATTGTTGGATTTGTTCACATAGCACTCATAGACAAAAGCACAAATTGCTCATGCCTGACTGAAGGTTTTCTGTAGCACACGCAAAATTTCCTTTAAGTTACATTTCAAACTTATTGGTCCCACCAATATTGGATTGCAATTGAGCTTTTATATTAAAGATCATTTTATACAGTGAAATTGCCAACAAGTACAGACATGTATTAGACAATGGAAAGAATACTTAGTTATAGTATGCGGAAAGGGAAGGCAGAACTTAGGTGTCTCAAAATTAGTTTATATTCCATGCATTGGATTACTGAAGTTGATTGCCATTCTTCACATGTGCACTCATCAAATGAAACACCTGATGTTGACTTGACAGCACAAATACACTTTAGTTAGCTGGGGAATTAATGTAGAATCTGCAAGTGATGAGTCTGAATGCTATATAAAGGTACCAGACTTGACTTTTTTTTCCACAATACTCTAAACTCTGAGTGTATGAGAAATGTTCATTTCTGGAACTACTCACTGTAGGAATAGATAAAGCAAAATGAGATCACTGTCTTTCCCAAGTTTTATTTCCTTGCACCACTTTTTCCAGATAACTAGATTTGTACTTAGGAATGAATCTTGTCCTTTCCTGGGTTCTCAAAGCTTTCTGCACCTTATCTCTGTGCAGATTTCTTATTTATTCAATCTATTTTGAGATGGAAAAGGAATTTCCATCCCAGCCCTGTCCTTATGCCTTCTGTCTTCATGGAATGTAGTCACCTGAAGACACAAACTACCTGTATTAATAATGAAATACCTAGGTCATTGAAACAATCAGCTCTCTGAACCCTTCTTTTGAAATAGTGTCAGTGTTTGAATGCTTGGCAGAGAAATGAGGAGACATGGCCACTATAAGTTTCTGGTTGCTCATTTTTCTGTTCTCTCTCACCCAATAGCTAAAGTTGCTTCTGTTTCTGGCTCTCAGGAAAAGAGGGAATAGGAGAGATGAAAGCTTTGAGTAACTTGAATTTTGTCCCCTGGAGTACAGCTCTCTGGGGGACCAGTCTCCTGCAGCTGAGAGCTTTGACAGGAATCCACAGAGTCAACAAGGCTAAACTTTTCTATCAGAGGGGGTTAGGAAAAAAGGAACTCACAAGCTCTCTTGGTGGTTTCCTTCTTTATTCTTATTCTTCTTTATTCTCTCCCCTATCTCATGTTATTTTATGGCTTTTATACCCCCAAAGACTCTTCCAGGCAGCACAAGAGTCAAAAGAGTTGCATTCCATTTTTCAAGTGAATGATGATAGGTAAAAACATGTTTTTCATCTCCCTCATGTGATTAAACATTTTATGTATTATAGCTGAAATAAAAATTATCCCAAGAACCCATGTACATTCATACCCAAGCAACTTGTTATAGATTAACCATGTGGCAAGCAAGGAGCTTTTGTCAGGTCTTTTACCAGCAGGCTGCATTTGCAGTTACAAAGAAAGGGCCAATTACTTTATTACTTATCATGAAAGGTAATATTATAAGTAATCTTAAAGGAATCACAAACCTAAACCTTTATATAAAAAATCAGTTAGCTCTACTTTAAATCTTTAGGGTACATATCCATTCATTAATAGTTTTTTATATCAGGAGATTGAGGACATAAATGGTATAAGGAATTAATCATCACCTTTGGTCATCAACCAAACCTAGCAAAGAGAGCACATCAGCCAGTGATAACTGGGCTGCTTTGTTCTTGTTCCCTGACATTAAATGTTGAAATTGGAGCGGCGGGGCTGCGTCCCCAACACCCCAGCCGCTTGCTAGCTTATGCCCGAAATAACAACACACAAACTGTATTCATTTAAGAACTGCTTGGCCCATGAACTCTAGCCCTTACAGGCTAATTCTCGCACCTGGACTAGCCCATTTCTAATAATGTGTGTAAGCACCCCAAGGTGCGCTTACCGGGAAGATTCTAGCCTATGTCCATCTTCATCGCGTGTGCCTCAGAGAGCAGAGCTATCACGCGTCTACCCGGGAGAGCTGAGCATAGCGTCTCTGCTCCAGAGAGCAGATCTGTCGAGTCTCTCCGGAAGCAGAGCAGAGTCTGACCTCACTTCCTCTTCCGCCCAGCATCCTATTCTGTTTTCTCCTCCCATCTATGTTCTAAGCTGAGGCCAAGCAGTTGGTTTATTATAACTTAACCAATGAAATCAACAGATTGATATATGACACTCCCACATCACTGAGTTCCACATTCAACTATGTGCCTTTCTTAAATTTTAGATTGCCCTCTTGGTTATTTAACGAAAACATCTTAGTCTAACTTTGTTATTTTCAAAGTTTTGTTTCAACTGTGATGCACTCTTAGACCTGTGAACATATCTCCCAACATTAAGTTTAAAAGAATTTAAACTAACTGGGCTATTGGGACTCAATTATTAGTCTTTAACTTGAGCTATAATCCATACAGTTCCTTAGATGAGACCCACAGACCCTGGGTATGAAACATATCTTTGCATTTATTTTTACTCATCAAATCACTGTAAAAGCTATCATTATCATTTATCAAATTATATGGTACAGTTTAGGGGTTGTTTTAAGGAAGCCACTTGTTTGCTTCCCAGCTGCCCGGCAGCTCAGACCCACAATAATCACACAGGAACTATATTATTTAAGTCACTGCTTGGCCCATTAGCTCTAACTTCTTATTGGCTAACTCTTACATATTAATTTAACCCATTTCTATTAATCTGTGTATCGCCACGTGGTTGTGGCTTACCGGCTAAAGTTCTGGCATCTGTCTCAGGCGGGGGCTACATGGTTTCTCCCTCCTTTGCCTCCTTTCTCCCAGCATTCAGTTTAGTTTTCCCTGCATGCTAAGTTCTACTTTGCTATAGGCCCAAAGCAGTCCTTTATTAACCAATGGTATTCAGAACATACAGAATGCCCAGTAGAACAGGATGTTTTCAAGAGATAAACACACTATATTACAGGCAGTCGAAATCTCCCCATGTCCACTCACAGCATGCTAGGTACCAGAGAAAGAGAGCCGCAGCAAACATTTAAAGACACAGAAGAAGCAAAAGACATTCTGGGTCCATAATCCCATGGCCTTGCCTAAATGAGATCAGCCCATCAGAGGGTTCCCTTCTAGTGGGTGACGCCTGGAACTTCAGTTGCAGCTCACTGCTCCTCTGGCATGGCCCACACACTGGAGTTGCTTTCTGTGATAACATTCCTACTCTACTCACTTCCAGCTGGAGCTTTGTAAATTTCTAAGATGTTTCCTTACTGAGAACTTTCATGCACTGTTATGATTATGAGAATAGTACTTCTGTCAGCTGTCTGTCATGACTTCCAAAACTTTAATCTCATCTCTTGGCTCCTGGATGATTTTCTCTGTAAGGTCCACTCAGTCTCAAGAGGGGAAATTAGGTATCTTTATGTATGTATTAGTTTAACTACTGATGGAAGGCAGACCAGATTGCATGATTTCTTTTTCTCTGTAGATAATACCATCATTATTTATGCCTCATTGTAAGTTTAAATATGTTTCTTTTGAGACAGGATCTCATTCTTTAGTCTTTAGGTCTCCACCATCATTTTCTGCCTGTTAGTGCAGGGATTACAGGCATGCATCCTACCCCTGTCTAAATATAATTATTTAAATATAAATACTCATTGTTGACTCTCTCAGCAAAGATTTTTGTCCCCACTAATTCTGGTTTTTTTTTGGAAATTATTATCTTATGAAATCATATAAGTTAGTTTTCAAATCACCAAAA